ATATATATGTAAAAGATCCATTCATCAGCACAGTATTGAAGGTAAAAACTGTATTTAGTGTATTGACATTACCTTGCTTCAAGACTTACTATAAAGCTATATTAACCAATAGTACAATATTGGTGGGAAAATAGATCAATAGAACAGAATGTAGAGTACAGAAATAGAACTACATAAATATAGTCAATGAAATTTTGACAAGAAGTAAAGGCAATTGAATAGAAAAAAGATGGTCTCTTTCAACAAATGGAGATGGAAGAATGTAACATCAAAATGCAAAATAATGAATCTAGATACAGAATGTATACCTTGACAAAAAGTAACTCCTAAATGTAAAATGCCAAACTATTAAAATACACCATGGGGAAATATCTAGATGATCTTGGATTTGGCCATGATTTTTTTTTCCATTAAGTTTATTGGTAACTTTTAGGTATACAATACAGTTACATTCATCATTAGGATCTTTTAACTTTACACGATGTATCTTAGTTCTTATTTTTTCCCCATTCCTTTGCCCTCCCTACACCCCCTTCACCCTTCTCTATTTACAAACACTTTATTTCCATGATTTTCCTTTTCTAACATTTTTTTCCTTTCCCTTCTTTCCTTTCTCCTACCTCTCCCACTTCCCCAACTCCTTTAGACAATTTCTTCCTATTTCACAATATCAATTACACGTTTTGATCCTTATTTACCCTTTTAGTTTTTCACACCAGAGAAACTATTGGGTATTTACACATGTGTGTCCTATTTATTGGCAATGACATTTTTTTTGTTTTTTTGTACCGGGGATTGAACTTGGGTCCTTGTACTTGCAAGGCAGGCCACTGAACCGCTGAGCTAAATCCCCAGCTGGCAATGACATTTTTGATAAAACTCCAGAAGCACAATTCATGAAAAAACAATTATGAGCCGTACTTCATTATAATGTGGTATAAGGGAGGGCAGGGACAAGGGGAAAAATGAGAACCAAGACCTGTCATGTAAAGGTACAAGATCTCAATAATGAATGTAACTGTACTGTATACCTAAAATGTACCAATAAACTCAATTAAAAAAATGTGGTATTATGTAAAAATCAGGATATTTCCCATTTACCATGAGTTGTACGTCTGTGTGGTAGATTAGAGGTATAGTTGAGAAATCAGAGGAGAAGAAAACTGATGGCTCAGTGATATAATAACCCTTGATAAGAGGACACTTAAGTCACTGAGTTACCAGTTATTCTTTCTCCTCTCTCATTTCTTTGTCTACATACAATATCTATTGTGAGAGAGCTATGAGACCTCTAAATGTAATAAAGCAGATCTTTTTTCATTATATATGTATATTTTTGAACATTATAAACACAAATATTTGCTAATATTAGTGAAAATTTGGAAAGTGTATTCTCAAAGTTTTACAATGCACATGATATACAACCACTATTTTATTTCACTTGTATTTTAACTTGTCTATTTATTTATACATCTAACTTGTCCACTAATCCATTTTATTTTCAGAGTAAATTCAAATTAAATTATGCATATCATTGAACTTTATAAGAACTTCAGCATATGTGTCAGTTTAATATTGGAGTTTAATATTTGCAATTTTTGATGCAAAATACATATAAAATGTAAATTAGAAGATATTTTTGAGTTGTGACATACACATATATGTATTATGTACAACCCAAACATTTTTGAGGATAAACAAGTTGCCATTACTCCAGAATGATCCTTTGTGTTCTTTTTCTGTTAATTCCTTCCCTAGCCAGGAGATAGCTAGTTTTGATTTTTACACTGAATTTATATGTGATTACAGCCTAAATTTTGAAACAAGTCAAAATGCTACATACAAATAAATATTATTGGAAGTATAACTTTGTTCCTGAACCTCAGTGAATCATTTTTTGTACTTCTTGCTTTGCCTGCACACAACTTTGATAGCCACTCCCTTAAAGTACAGATTTTATTTCATCACATCACTATTTAAAGTTTCTAAATGGGTTTTCCTTAAAATAAAACCTTCTGTACGGATTACCTGATCTCAGTGGGGTTATTCTGGTAGTGGGTGCTGCTGATATTAATTATTTTTATTTATTATGTTATGAAAGAAATGATTGTATCCTTTATTAGATCCATACACATCAAATATGTGTATTGAAACATCTCACTCTACACAATAAATGTGTATTGTTATTATGTGTTGATTAAAATAAAAAATGAAATAAATTAATAAAAAAGTGAAGCCCACAGCATAATTGGTCATATTAGGTTTCTGCCCAATAGCCAAAAAATTCTTAATAAGCACACACAGAACACTCAATGAAACAGATCACAAGTTCATTAAAAAACAAATATCGTATCAAATGTATTTCTCCATCACTATGATATGACACTAGAAACTAAGAGCAGCAAGAAAATGGGCATTTTCACAAACATGGAGGCTGAATAACACATTTTGAAACAAATACTGTTTTAAAGAAGGATGTAAAAAAGGAATATTTAAAATATTTTTAGAAGTACAGAAATGAAATCACAACTCACTAAAACTCATAAAATGTGTCAAAAGCAGTACTGAGCAGGAATTTTATAGTGCCACATGCCAACATTAAAAAAGAAAAAAATTCTTACGTACACACTCAAGCTTTACCTCTGTCATCAGAAGAAAGAAAATAATAAAAAACAGAGCAATACAAATCAAATAAGAAAAAATAGAAAATTTAATGAAACTAAAAGTTTTTTTTTTGAAAAAAACAAGTCAACAACTGATTAGCTTGACCAAGTGAAAAAGAGAAGACTTAAAGTTAGAAATGAAAGAAGAAACATTACAATGGATGCCTCAGAATTAAAGGATTATAGGCAATTATATACCAACAAATTCGATAGCCTAGAGCAGGGATGGCGAACCTTTTAGAGACTGAGTCCCCAAATTGCAATCCAAAACTCATTTATTGTAAAGTGCCAACACTGCAATTAAAACTGAACACTGAGGTTATAATTTAGAAAAAAACAACTGTTACCCAACAGCAGCTGGGCTGCTTGGGTGACTTGGCTCATGTGCCCAAAGAGAGGGCTCTGTGTGTCCCCTGTAGCACACATGCCATAGGTTCACTACCATTGGCCTAAAGAAACTGGATAAATTTCTGGAAACATACAACATAGACAAACGGGATCAGAAAGAAATAGAAAGCCAGGAACAGAATAACAACAAGTAAAGAATTAACCTAGTAATTAAAAAAAAATGCCTCAAACAAAAAAAAATTTCAGGAACACATGGCTTCGTAGCCAAATTCTAACAAACATTCAAAGAAGTATTAATACAAATTCTTAAATACTTCAAATAAATAGAAAAACTACTTCAAAACTCATGCTTTGAAGCCTGATATCAAAGCCAGACAAAGATTCCACAAGGAAGATGAAAGCCAAGAAAAATGCAAGCCAAAATCACTGGTGAATATAGATGTAAAAATTCTCAATAAAATACTAGCAAAACCAAACTTAATGGCTCATCCAAATGATTATACTGTACATTGTGACAAAATGAGGTTTATCCTAGTTATGTAATGTTGGATATGCAATCGGTGTGATAAACTACATGAACAACAGTAATAAAAAGCATTTGACAAAAGCCAATGTTTTTCATGAGAAAAGTCTCAGCAAAGTGGGTAGAAGGATATTTCTCAGTATAATAAAGACTTTATGAAAACATGGCTAATATAATCAGTGGGAGAAATATATGAAAAACTTTTTGTAAAACTCAGTGTGGACTTCTCTGTGATAGCAGAAGCAATCAGAAAAAAGATAGAAAGAAAAAAGAAAAGCGTGAATAAATTGAAAAGGAGGAAAAGAAATTCCCTCTGCATATGACATCATCCTACGTATAGAAAATTCTGCAGAATTCAAAAAGCTCTTAGAACTAAAATGTGACTTTAGTAAAGTTAAAATGTACAAAATTAATATACCCAGATCAGTTGCATTCATTTGTACCAAGAAGTATTTGTCTGCATAGGAAAGTAAGAAAACATTTCTATTTAGAACATTATCAAAAATAATAAAATACCTAGGAATAAATTTAAACTAAGTAGTGTTGGTCAAGGAGATTCATCATGATCCAGACTGTGCACTATGAAGCGTGTAAGTAAAGCAGAGCATGTAACTGATGAGAAAAGAGATTTTATACAACTGTTTTAATAATGTTTTTAAACAAACGAGCAAGTGTATAACAAAAACAAGCAACATGAAAAGGAGTAGAATCATTATCTAAAGTTGTTACAATGAGACCCTTTAAATGTTGAAATCTTCACCCAAAAAATTCTTTTAAAAAGTGGCCTTGAACTCGCTATGGAGCCCAGGCTGTCCTTGAACGCAATCTCATGAATGTTGGGTTTACTGGTGTACATTACAACACCTGGCAAAAATTTCTGAGATATGAAAAAGAGCTCAGGAAAAGTAAAAAACATGTAATAAAATAATACATTAGAGAAGTAATGCAAACTTTCCTAGAGGGGGAAATGTTGTACATGACAGAGAAGGTCTTCAGAAAAGCTACTATAAGCATGTTCAAGAAATTTAAAAAATATTTTTCAAGAATTAAAGGAGGTTATTATGATAGTGTGTCACCAAATACACCAATTTAGTAAAGTGACAGATGTCATTAAACAGAACTTTATGGAGACTGTGGAGTGGAAAGATATAGAAACCAAAATGAGAAATTGATGAGATAGGTTCAGTAATAGAGTTAAGGTAGGAAAGAAAAGTATTTGAAAATGTACCTTTACATGATTTCTTGGTTCTTATATTTTCCCCATACCCCTGCTCTTCCTTCTCCCTCTTCACCCTTCCCTATTTACAAAGACTTTGTTTCCACATTTTTCTTTTCTCATATTTTTTCATTTCCTTTGTTACCTTTCACCTACCCCTCCCACTTCCCTTACTCCTGTAGAACTTTTCTTTCTGTTTCACAATATCAATTATAATTTTTGATCCTTATTTACACCTTTAGTTTTTCACACCAGAGAAACTATTCAGTATTTATACGTGTGTCTTATTAATTTCACTTAAGAGTATGTCCTCAATATGCATCCACCTAGCTATAAATGTCTCCAGTTGCTTATTCCTTATGGCTGAGTAGTACTCCATTTTATAAAAAAAACCCATTTCACACACACACATACACCACATCATTTATCCAGTTTGCAGTTGATGGGCAGTTGGCCTGTTTCCAAGTTTTAGCTATTACAAACCATGCCACTATATACATGAGTGAGCATATATCACTGTGGTATGAGCTTTTTTGGAAGATACACAGCAGAGGAATAGCTGGGTTAAATGAGACTTCTAATCCTAGTTCTTTGATGAATCTCCATATTGATTTCCACTGTAGCTGCACCAGTCTTCACTCCTACCAACAATGGAGAAGGGTTCCTTTCCTCCCATAATGCCACCAGTGTTTGTTATTGGTTGATTCCATGATAAAAGCCATTATTTCTTGGGTGAGGTGGAATCTCAGTGATTTTTCATCTGCATCTCTTGAATGACCAGTGATGTTGAAAATTTTTTCATATGTTTACTTGCTGCTTTTACTTGTTTGTCTGAGAAATGTCTGTTCATTTCAGTTGACCATTTTTGAATTGGATCTTTATATTTGGATGGGTCTGATTTTTTTGAGTTCTTTATATATTCTGGATAGAGCACCTATGTGTGAGGAATAGCTGATGAAAAATTTTTCCCACGTTGTAGGTTGTCTCTTAGCTCTGATGGTGAATTCTTTTGCAGTGCAGGAGCTTTTTAATAAGATGAGATCCCAGCTGCTGGTTCTTTCTGCTAGTTCCCATGCTACTGAGGATTTGTTCATAAAGTCTTTTCTTATGCCAGTATCTTTACTTACCTTCCAGAAAGTTTAGGGTTTCTGTTTTAATATTTATATCTTTAATCCACTTTGATTTTAATTTAGTGCATGGAGAAAGATAGGGGTCTAGTTTTAATCTTTGGCAGGTTGAAATTCAGTTTTTCCAACACTATTTATTTATTTATTTTATTTATTTGTTTTACTCATTGAGTTTATTGGTACATTTTAGGTATACAGTACAGTTACATTCATCATTGGGATCTTGTACTTTACATGACAGGTCTTTGTTCTCATTTTTTCCCCTTGTCCATGCCCTTCTTTCACCCCTTCCTCCCCTCCCCATTTATAAACACTTTATTTATTAATGAGTCTATCTTTCCTCCAGTGAGTATGGTTGGCACCTTTGTCAAAGGTGAGGTAGCTGAAAACTTCTGGAGTTATTTCTGAATCTTCAAATCTATTCCACTGATCCTCAGGTCTGTTTCTTTGTCAGTACCATGCTTTTTTTGCTTATTTGAGCTCACTCTGTTTTCCTAGTATGGGCATTCACTACTATGAATTTTCCATGCAGAACTGCTTTCATTGTTTCCCATAGATTCCTGAATATTGTACTGGCATTATCATTAAATTGTAAAACCTGCCTAATTTCTTCTTTAACTTTCTCTGTGACCCATTGGATGTTCAAGAGTGTTATTCAATTTCCATGTGTTTGTGAATGTCTTGTGGTTTATTATGCTATTTATTTCCAGTTTTATAGAACAATGGTCTGATAATATACACAGGACAATTTCAATTCCTTTGCATTTACTTAAACATATTCTATAAACTAATATATGGACTATTTTGGAGAATAACCCATGTGCAGCTGAAAAGAACATATGTTATGATTTTGTGGGGTAGAACACTTTGTAGATGTTGATTAAGTCTATTTGTTCAAAAGCTAGGTTGAGTTCTAATATTTGGTTGCTGATTTGTTGTCTAGATTATGTCTGTTGGTGACAGTGGTATACTGAGGTCCCCCAGTACAATTGTATTAGTGCTTATTTGGTTTTTCATGTCCCTTAATATTTGTTTTGCATAGTTGGGGGCATTAGTATTTGTGCATATATATTTATAATTGTCATCTCTTCCTCTTGGATTGTTCCCTTTACAAGGATGTAGTGACCTTCTTTGTCTCTCTTAATAATTTTCGGTTTGAAATTTACTTACTCTGCAAATAATATAGCTACTCCTACTTTTCTCCAGATTCCTGTTGCCTGGAGAACTGTTTTCCATCAATTTAATTTCAGTCTATAAGTTTCTTTTTGGATTAGTGTGCTTCCTGTATGCAGCATATTGCTGGCTGTTGCTTCTTAATCCATTCAGCCAGTCTGTTTCTTTCAATTGGTGAATTGAGGCCATTGGCATTGATCGTTATAACTGATATGTATTGATTTATTATTGTCATATTATTTTCCCATTGTTGGCTCTTTTTTATTGAGTTCATTGGTACATTCTAGGTATACAATACAGTTATATTCATTATTGGGATCCTGTACCTTTGCATGATAGGGCTTGGTTCTCATTTTTTCCCCTTGTCCCTGCCCTCCCTTCACCCCCTCCTCCCCTCCCCATTTACAAACACTTTATTTTTATTTTTCCCATTCTCCCTTTAATTTCTCACCTTGCCTGATTAAATAGTTTGAATTTGCTCTTTTGGGCCTCATGCAGTTATGCCATTCATTTTTTTTTTATTGGATAGTTTGAGAAATTATTTGGAGTGCTGGTTTGGTATTCATGAAGTTTCTCAGGTGTTGTTTGTCATGGAAGTGTCTTATTTCCCCATCAATTTTGAAAGATAGTTTTGTGGAATACCTCATTCTATGTTTCAGGTTGTTTTCTTTTAAGGCTTGAAATACCTCACTTCAGGCCCTCATTGACTTGAGCGTTTGTGTTGAAAAGTCTGCTGTGATTCTCATGGGCTTTACTTTGCATGTGATTTGTTTCTTTTGTCTAATTGCTTATAGTATTTTGTTCTTCTTTTGGGTTTCTGGTATCTTGATTATTATATATCTAAGTGTAGATTTTTTTTTTATCATGACTAACTAGAGTCCTATGTGCCTCACTTTTATGTCAAATTCTTTTGCTCTCTTTGCAAAGTTTTCTATCATTAATTCTGTGAACATTGTTTTATGTCACTTGTACTTTATCCTGCTTTTTTATGAAATCCTACTAGTCTTATATTATTTTTCTTTGCATCATTTAGGAACTGTTGGATTGATTTCTCATGGTCCATTACTATTTTTAGGAGATCTCTCTTTTCATGGTCACTGACCACCATTCTGTCTTCTGTATCTGATACTGTTTTCAGATTGGCTCAGTCTGATGTGTACACTTTCAATAGAGTTTTAATCTCCTGGATATCAGTTTAAATCTGTTTCATGGATTCCATTTCATTCCTATGTTGGGTGTTCATAGTTTCCCTTTCTTTTCTATGCTGAGCATTCATGGCTTCCATCTTGGTTCTGAATTCATCTTTTTTATCTGTTTCTCTTTTAGAGACTCTAATAATGACTTTGATTCTGCTCACCAATTCTGTAGATATCTGGTAAATTATTTCTGTTTTAATTTTTTAGGGCCTCATCCATCTGTTTTGTTACTTCCTGTGCTATCAGTTCAGGGTGTCCAGGTGGTTGATTATAAGGCTTTTCCACCTCGCTTACCCCAGAACTTGCCTTTGGCAAGCTGAAAGACTGGGTTTGTGTCTTGCTTAAACGTCTTTTCATTTGTATTATTGTTGTAGGTACAGTCCTTTGTTTATTTCCTGGGTAGACATTTTGATATTGCTTATTGTAATCTATCACCTTTAACCATGTGTGATAAATAAATATTGAGGACTAGCCCAAAATATGTTTATTGTAAGAAACTGTTCAATATAGTAACTTACTCTTCAATATGGGCACTTAGAAGGACTAAGGCCCTCTTACTCTTCTTCACCTCTGTTCTATCTTCTGGAGCTCAGGACAATGGCCTTTAAGACCCCATTTGCCTCTCCAGCATGGATCCAGGTACAGGCACAGCCATAAGGCCAGAGTTGGGGGGCACCCTGGGATATTGCTGGAAGTACCTCCAGGCTTCTAGTCTTCACCGGTCTGCTCATGGCTTTGGTGCCTGGAGGGAGAAGGGTGGGGCCAAGCTGGTGGAAAGAGAGTAATAAATAGTAAGTACTCAGAAGAATGGCAAGGAAAAGGAATGAAGAGCTTGGAAGAATGGGAGACACAAGAACACTAGCAATCCTTCAAGAGGA